CATTTCCTCTTGATGTCTGGACGAAGTCCGGTATACAATGCATGCAACTTGGAAAAACCATCAAGTTCGTTTTCACACTTGAGAAACATTTGTTCCAAGAGCTGCATGTATTTGATCGTATCGGGACCCGAGGTCCCTGCCTTTGTAAAGGCTGCTATTTCCGACCGAATTTCGAAGTCGGAACATTTGTGATCATAAAGTGTCTCCATGCCATACTTGAATTGTTCCCATGACAGTTGAAAGTCTGGCTGCGAGAGCACTTCTGCATCAATTGTTATCCCCCATATGTGCCCTAACTGGGCTAGTAGGCCGTGCTTCACTGACTCTTCAAGAGTGTTCAGTGCTATCCATCCCCATTGCGTCCGGGGTGCCATAGTGGTCTTGAAATACATAATGATTTCTTGCAACCACTTGGTCAAGGCCTGTTTATCTTCATTCCACTTAGGGGGTTTCATGCCTTGACTGTTCATCTTAGGCATGTTCATGCTCACCTAAGCTTCCCTTCCGGGTTGGTAATATACCGGCGCATATGGTACCTCTTGCGCCGCTGCCAAATAGGCTTGTCCGGTGTAACCCGGTCCTAGGGGATTGTACCCCTCCGGAGGCGGGGGAGGCCCCATTTCCGCCCGATGTGGCTCAACAACCTCGCCTTCCTCTATTCCAAACAGGAATTCCTCAGTTGGAGGTTCCTGGGTCTGGAAATGGCAGGGCGGATAATCATACACCCTCTCGTAACTGCCCGATCCCCCAAGATGGGACGGGTCCTCGTACACGGGTGTTGGGTGCTCCTCCGCATGGGGTCCCCTTCCGGGTTGATATGCCCTCCCGGGCTGAACCGTCACTCCTACCTGAGTGGCCATCCCTGGCTGTGCTGCCATCCCTGGCTGGTAATACTGAACTGGCGGGTACCTCGCAGATCCCGGTGCAAATGGAGACATCTCCTGCAGCCTTTGAATCTTCTACTGCGTAGTTTGCACTGGGGGCTGTGTCACCCGCTGTCCAGCCTGCCCCATTGTATAAGGCCTCACCGGTTGTCTTGGCGCCAATTCAGGCTGAGCCACTGGACGAACCGGTTGAGAGGGACTTGCTTGCATCGATGGTCCCGGGGGCATTTGAGCTGGTCCCTCTTCGGGGACTTTGCGGCCAGTTCTTTGGATGGCCTGCCACTCCGTGGCTGCTTCTTGACCCTCTGGCATGTATACCCAGTGCTGACTGCTGAGCATCAAAGAGGCCTCGCAGTTTCACTGGTATTCGTTGGAGGGCGTCCCGTGGGACTTATGCACGATAGGGGGCATGACCCCTTAGGGGATGATAATACCCCTTAAAGTACACCCCTCCATGAGGTTCGTGGAATGCACCCAATGTATCCCAGAATCCCCTCCTGTCCTGGATGACAGGGGTATGTATTACTGGGGTTGGTCTGGGTGCCTCGTGCGGCTCCTTTGCCCGACCACGTTGTTCAGCCGCCATTTGCTGGGCACGGCGTTCCTGGTAGCCAGGTCCTGGTAATGCCGGTTTGTACTGCAATTCCTGCCGTCCCCTTGAGGCCTGCTTCGCCTCTTGCAGTTCCATATATGCTGCATAATCTTCATTCCCCATCAAGGAACGAAGCTGAGCAGCTTTCTCTGCATCTGCTTTTGCTCGCTGCAAAGCGGCTTCCTGCTTCTGCAGGACCTCATATGTCTCCCGTCTCTCTGGGGGAATGGGACTGGCAGGTTCACCTGCTGAACCGAGATACACAACATCGTCGTTACCCGCAGAATCAACGATGTCTGCACGGTTACGCAATTTGGTGTTCTCAATAGGTTGCAGCAAGGGCAATTCGATAGGAATGTCACCTGTGGTTGGCCTTTGCAGGCCTTGGGATCTCCCCTTAGCCTTTTCAGGCTGATATCTCGCCTTCATAGGCGGGTCTTTCTCCTTGCCGGGCGATTCCTTCGCCTTTGCCGTTTTAGGCTGGGTCTCCTTCCCTGGCGTTTTCTCCACCTTGGGAACGCTGGTCTCCACAACCGACGGCGATGCCTGTTCCGGTTGGGTAGGGACAAAGCGGGCAGGGTGGTTTACACCACTGTCACTGCCGCTACTGTCCTGCTGATCGGCCCAGCGTTTGGAGGTGCCCTCCTTCTTGGCAATGTGGGCAAAGGCCTTAGCCTGCTCGGCCGGGTCCAACTCATCGACCGGCGGCTTAACCTCTAGGCGCTGCGCCTTTTGGCTGCCTCCTGCGGAGAAAAACCGCTTGATCTCAGCCTTGCGCTGGCGTTTGTGAGCTCGTTTACGCTCATATTTTTTGGGATTCAATTGGCGATCCCGTTCACGCCACATTGCTTTCAGCTCTCGGCGCTGGTTAGCCTTTCTGGCCTTTCGTTCGTCCAACTTCTTGGCATGAGCAAACCGATCTCGGTTACGAATGCGTCGTCTTTCTTTCTCCATTCTGTGCACTTGTGCTCGGGTGGACATGTCTCCCGGCATTGGAGATGCACAAGATGAGAACGACAACTCCGAGATCTCCTCCCACCGTTCGTGGGGATCATTGGGGTCCGGTCTCTCTGGACTCCCATCGCTCAAGTCCCATGGTTCTGGGATGTGCCTGAGCGCAAAGGCCATTTTTCTGGCCAATTTGGGTCCTCTTTGGCAATTTGATCTGCCATTCCAGGACCATACCACCTTTGAATTCGTACCAGTCGGGCGGTGGTCAACCTTTCTCCAAACTGGTCGGCGGCCATTCGCCACCCCTCGTCAAGCTCATCGACGAGATCACTGTGGAACTTTGTCCACATTGCACGGCATGGTGGTTGCCGGCTATACGGATCTCGAGTGTCTGGAACAAATTCCAGCACTCTTGAGCTTTCACCAGGTCCCCATTCCAGCAGCGCAAGCCTCTTGGGGCTCCAGTTGTGGCCTCCCGGCCTTGGCGGACTTTTTCCGCATACTGCTTGAGCGCTTTCTGTAAGCGACTCATCTCCCGTCCCGTCCGATCCACTAGGTGTTCTCAGATGCACCTGGGATTTGAGCCGTAACTCCGGGATCTTGACCTTCCGGCCTTGTATTCTCTCAATTCGCCCTAAGGCTTTGGCCTCCCAGCCTTGATATGGAGATTTCTCACTTTCCATCGGCCGCTCACCTGGCGATGGGCTCTTCCGCTTGGGGCGCTGCTTGCCAGCAACCTTCCAGTCTTCCTCTGGAATGGTTGGCATGGGCAGCTCCGACGGACTGGGGGCCCTCACAGCTGGCACCACCTGTTGGGCGCTTCTCTCTTCTGCCTCCTGGGCCCGCTGCTTTTGCTTCCGGAGGCGGTCACTCAACGCCTTGACCTGGTCTTCGGCGGAGGTTTTGGCTTCTTGTGCCTCGCGGCTCTGCTGCTTCGCCTTCTTCATGGCCAGCTCTTTTTCTCGAGCTTCTTTCTTGGCCTTGTTGACGGCGATCTCCAACGAGGCGATCCTCTCGGCGGTCTCTTCCTCCCGCTTCGCTCTCGCCTTCTGGGCCGCAGCATCCGCCACTTGCTCCAAGAGTTCCATGATACCAGGGGTCTGCAGCAGCGCCGCTATGGCTCCCTGATCTTGCTCTTGCTTCTTCTCCGCCGCCGGTGGGGCACTCGCTTCCCCCATTGGTTCATCTTCCTCTACGGGTGGCGGAGTGGCTGTGGAGGGTCCAGCCGTGTCCTCCCGGACTTTGTCACCTCCTTGCCCATCCCGGGCTTTAACTTCACCAACCGAAGTCGGTGTCCCCTCCCGGGGTGTTTCAACCTCTCCCGACGTGTCGGGGGTGCCCTTGCGGGCAGAACTGTCTGATTCCTCGGCCTCCATGGTGGAGGCCGGGGAGGGAGCCCGTTGCTCCGCGCTTGCGCGTCCGCCCAGGCGGAAGCGTGGTAGCCACCCTCAGGTGGCTCCGAAACCAAATGATACGAAAAGTCTGTGGGTGTGGGGTGCCTGCCCTCTTTGAGCCGCGGACCCGCCTCGCCGGGCACCTAGGTCCTTACGGGGACCTAGGCGGGACCACCCCTCCTACTCCCATATCCTTATAAGTATAAGGGTTACCGTAGGACAAGGAATACAATACGACCTTGGGTAGGGCGTCCCCCACATCAGGCCGGTGCGCGTAACATTGCCCTTGCTTTGCGAATCAAACCATAGTACTTCTGCAATACTTTGCACCTTAAAACCGAAATCACATTCTTGGTCACACATTCTTGGCTTGGTTGGGAGGGAGAGCAAAACATGATGGAGACCATCAGAGTGTGCCACCATAAAATAGGCGGCACCTGCCTCCAGCCAAAAAGTGCACCAAGCCTCTCACGTGAATGGCTGGCTGTGGATCCCTTTGAAAGCATGCCCAGAATTGGGAGTATATCTCAGAATATGAGAGTATTTGACCAGCCATCACTCGCCGCCCTTGGGCCTTGAAGTCCATGCGACGACCAGGAGCAACCACCAGTGTGGTGCCCCGCCTAGGCTGCTGACGTGTTCTAGTATCCCGCCCGGGTCTCCCCGAGCAGAAACTCGTTAACTACGTAAATCCGCCATCCCCAATGCCACGAATGACTTGCACTGCTCCACCCTCCAAAATCCCCCACCACCCCATCAACTCCAAACTCGCCACAAAAACACGGCCAATCCTCCGCGCAGCAGATCAGCGCCACCCTGGTCCCCCCCGCTGCGTCTGCCCACGCTGGCGGCCGCCGTCGCCAACAGCCAGAAGGATTGTGGGCAAAAAGCGCGGGCCCCCCTCCCCTTCCCCACGTACCCCAATCCAGCGCACCAGCATCCGCCACCGCACAACCCCCCGGCCGTTCGATCGCCGACCTGTCCCCACTAACCCCCCCCGGGCGCCCGATAGGTTAGGTCTTCCCCGACCAACAGCATCCGCCGGGGCCCCCCTGGGCGGGTTTTCAGCGACCTGGGAACTCGCGCTCGTCGATTATTTGCAGATTCACGACACCTGACGCCGGCACAGACGGGCAGCAAGCGCTCGAGCAAGCCAGCGTTTGAGAGATCGAAGCCCAGATGGCCAGCCCCTGGGCTAAGGCGACCCCCAAGGTGACAGACTGGTCGGAACAAGTCGAGGAGGAGGAGGCCCAGAATGGCGGCGACCTGGTCCCGCCGGAGGCCGTGCCGCTGGATGAGGAGGCCTTCCCGTCGCTGGGCGACGCGGCCAAGGTGAAGACGCCCAAGAAGAAGAAGGGCGGGCAGAAGATGACCCTGGGGGAGTTCGTGGGCAAGAGCGGGGCCCCCAGCAGGCGGCGGATTGGGCCCATGATGTCGGACCAGGAAATCGCAATGAACCTTCCGACGGGGCCCAGGGAGCGCGGGCCCGGGGAGGAGGACGGCGGATGGGGGCAAGGTGGGAGGGGGGCCGGGGCGTCTGTGTGCGTGCGCGTGTGGGAGGCGGGGCCGATTCTCTGGCTGCTTTTTTCGCGGGTGGGACGCTGCTGCAAAGGCAGGGGGGGTGGGGGGTCGGGTGTTGAGGCTGTGGTGTGACTGGCCGGCCCGTCTGTGCCGCCGCTCCCGCCCCTGTCGGTCAGATTGCCGGCGGCCATGGCGCCTTGGGGCTGCGCGTGTCGGCGGCGCGCTGTGTTGCTCGGCGGCCGGGCGATCCGCGTCCGCGCCCAGCGGGCTCTGCGGGGGGGTGGAATGGGCCGGCGGTGAAAGACGTTGTCCGTGTCTTCCGGCCCCTGCAGGTGGGCGGTCAGGCTTCGGGGGCGGGTACCGCAGTGGCGGCTTCGGCGACCGGGAGGACCGGGGAAGGGACGACATGGGGCCCAGCCGCGCGGATGAGGCTGACAACTGGGGCTCCCAAAAGCAGTTCGTGCCGTCCTCCGGCGGCTACGGCAGCCGGCCCGGCGGGTACGGCGGCGGTGGCTTCAGCTCGTACGACCGCCCGCGCAGCAGCGCCGGCAGCAGGTACGATGACGCGCCGATGGCCAGGGCGTCCGACAGCGACAACTGGTCCAGGGACAACAGGTTCGAGCCCAGCAGGGACTCCCAGAGGGGCCGGTCTGGATTCGGCGGCGGCTTTTACGAGCCGCCGCCGCCGCGCAGAGGGTACGGTTTTCGAGATCGGGACGACAGGGGGATGCGCGGCGGCGGCTTCGGCGATCGGGACCCAATGAGGACGGAGGGGGGGAGCTGGACGAGGGCCAGGTCGTACACGCCGAATTCGGAGGGCCCGGGTGAGGATGGGGGCGGCGAGAGGCCGAGGCTGAACCTGGCGCCACGCAAGAAGCCGCTGGCCGGCCCGGGGTCCGACGGCGGCGCGGAGGGCGGCGGGCGGGACGCGTCCACGCCCTCGAAGCGGAGCAGCATCTTTGGGGACGCGCGGCCGAGGGAGGAGGTGCTGAAGGAGAGGGGCGGGTACGTGGACGGGCAGTCGTCCAGGGTGGGGGGCTGGGAGGGATCGTGGGGCGGCCCGGGTTGGCTGGTTCTGGCGCGGCCGCCTCGCTGCTTGTCGCGTCCTGCCGGCCCTGTGCTTTCACTGATTGCTTCCTGCGTTGAGGGAGCCTCAAGATCGGTCTTGGCTTTCAGTGCAGAAGAGTTTTGGGGATCTTCCCACCGTGGCTGGGTTGCTGTGCGGAGAGGTGTGGAGTGCTTTGCAGCTTGATTTTGATGTCAGGTGTTGGAAAGAGTCGCAAAGCTGTGCTGCCCTGGATGCAGCCAGCTGTTGCACCGCTTTTCCTGTCTGTTATTCTTGTCTGCTTCTTGTTAGTCTTGCCCAAGGGCCTGGCAGAAGTCTGCAGCACGTTCCTGTGCTGTGATGCGTGCTTTGCCTGCTGCACTCAGAGACTTGTCTATGACATTCTGGCAGGCAGGAAAGTCCCAAGCACCTTGTGAATGGGCGGGCATGCCCCTTGTATGTCTGGGGTTACTTCTTCCCAGTGCTGCATCGTTTACACACGATGTGAACTAATCTGGCTTGCAAAATAACGAACTTGTTTTGGTGCAGTCCTGTTGGCCTGTAAATAAACTTTCTGAAATCGTAGTATCCTTAGCGGTCAATTTGCCACAAACCCAGGCTACTCAACTGACCACAGTTTCAGCACAAAGGCTGTGGTTTCATCTGCATACTATCGCATGTTTGTTATCTGCCCTTGATTCCACGACATGACATCACTGTATTTAGTGTATTGATCTGCCCATGTCCAGGAGTGACATCAGCGGGTCTGCCCCTCATGTTGGCAGGACGACGCCCACAAGCGAGGTGAGCAGCCGTGCTGGCAGCAGGACTGGCAGCCGTGCTGGCAGCAGGGCTGGCACCCCTGCTAGTCCAGTTGTAAGGAGCCCAAGAGAGGCCCCAAAGCAGCCATTTGTGAGGCCACACAGGGAAGACCCCTTTGGGGGCGCCCGACCTAGAGAGGACAACCTTGGCCAAAGGTGAGGGGCTGGGGGTGCATTGATGTACATGGCGTTCAGGTCAACAAGCGGCAGGGACTTGTAACTGAATTTGGCTGTGCAGTAAGAAAGCCAGCATGGTCACCCACATGCATCTCAGCTGACTACAGATAATCAGGCAGCATTGGTTTTGCTGGCGATCTCCAAGGTGCTCACAGCTTGCTTCAACAAAAACAAGCACGGACTCAAGTTGTCTAGTGCTGAAACTGGGACAGCACATACATTTCAGTTTCTGTTGGTATCCCAACTGCACGATGGTCTATGTTTAGGGACATCGCCTGCAAGGCACAAGGCACTTTGTTTTTCGAAGACAAATGTGAACAAAGGAATTCGCATGTCTCATGTTGTGGCACTTCACTGTCTTGTGCCACAATTGGTGTCTTCAGTGTCTTGAGGCAGTGCACGATTTGGGGATTTTGAGAATGTTGAGCATGCCACGACTACAAATGTCTTGTACGGGCTGTAAGGCTTGGTTAGTTTGCAAAGCTGTGCTCTTTGGGCTGAAGAGGTGATCCAGAAAAATGTTTGCTCTTGTTGAAGACCGTTTGAAACCTCATCGCTGGGCGAATCCTGAGAAGCTTCCCTACACGGCGACATGGGTGGTGTCAGCTGACAGTGGGGTGAAGTTTCGTTTATGCAGAACCTCCTCAATCAACCCGCTGCCGCAGAGTGCTGTTTCAGGCAGTGCTTCATGCTGCTTTCAGGATGCACCTCAACTATGAGTATCTGCCACCACGAAAGCCAATGTGCCAGATTGGGTGATTGACTGCAGCTGGCATCAAGGCTGAAGCCGGCTAACTGTATTGCTGCATGAGAGTGATTCACCACAGCCTCGACAGAGAGAGCCACCCCAAAACAAGTTTTTGTCCTCCTAGCATGCTATCATGTCTGACAAAGTCACGTGTCGCATTATGTTCCAAGTCAGCGGGCACAAGACATGTCCAACAGAACTTAGAACACTTGCTGCTTTCTGCTGCTCAGGATGATGGAGAAGGATGCGGAGGAGGAGCTGTCAAAGGGAATCGAGGCCATGTGAGGGGTTAGTCTAAACTCTTGCAGGTTCATATTATGTCTCCCCCTTGATCTGGTGTTGTTTTGGGAGCCGTGGGAGCTGGGAGCTGTGGGGCTCTGGAGGGTGGGAGGTATAGTGGCAGCTTGACGATCTTAGTGGGGATGGCTTGCCAGCGGACAGCTGATTGGCAATTGGCACAGCTGAAACAGTTTGGCGCCACATAGAAATGGGCTATGGGTGATTTACTAGCAAGATGAACTCGACTTTATTGCTGTTCGAGAAGATTTCCACTTGAAGAGATACACTTGAGATATGCAAATTTGCAGCAGAGCTACTCCTGCGCTGTGTGACATTTAAGCTAAACCTGCACTTTGGACACACCAGCTTATTCTGATCGCAATGCTGAGGCATCGATAGTTGAGCACGTTTCGTGCTTTTCGCTTGGCCCTGCCCTTTGAGCAGGCTGACAAGTGCACTATCCTTCAGGAATGACCAAGGAAACAACGTGCCAATCACCTTTGGGAGACTGACGACAGCACTGTGGTTGCTGCCCCTGTGGATTGGTTCTAGCTCACCAGGCTCAACAACTAGCCTTCTTTTCCATTTGCCTGCTTTTCTTCAATTGGGGGATAGGAAGGGATTGCGCGCTTGGGATCTGAAGAGACGTTGTGGCCTTTGGAATGGTGCTGCACTGCAGATGGCAGCGGATGCTTGCCGTTTTTGTGGTGTGTGGTTCGGCGGTGCAGTTGTAAGGCCATTGAATTTACTCCAGATTTGTTGACAGCTAGATTGCTGTGATGCTGTTTGAGCTGCAAGAGTCGATCGTCAGTGACTAGAAGCCTTCCGCTGGAAGGATATGCAATCATCGGTCATGAGGCAGTGGCGTTGATGCAGGGGAGTGGGGGACTGCAAGCTGGGTGCTGCGTGCTCTCTTGGTTCCAAAGGACTACAACACATCCCAAGCCCCTAGGTGCCGTCGTTGTGTCAACAAGAGATATGGGCCTCCTCACAACGAGAGTCTGCCGCCTCACAAGGCATTGCAAGGCGATATGGAGCCCATGCATCTGGGTGGTGCTACTTGTCAAACGGCGTGAGCTCATTCTGGATGGTAGTGGATTTGTCTGCCACAGCAACAGACACATAGGCACAATGATAGATGGGAATGCAGCCAGCGAAACCCTGGACACCAATCACTTGTCTGTTGGCATTGTACTTCGAAGTGCCGTGGTTGGTTCTGGTGGCATTGGGCTGCGACGAGCTTTTGCGCCTCTTTGTCTCCGCCAGCGCATCTCAGCTGTGTCCATGACAAACACACAAGTGTTAACCACTGTGTTCTTGCTATGGCCAAAATAATTTGTATTTGAATAGCATGCACACAACCAGCGCAGACTCAGCTGTTCCTGTGTACTTCAAGATCAACATTGTATCATCTGCTGGCGGTCTCATCCGAGACACATCCCACTCTGGCACTTGCCAATAATTACCCACTCGTGGTTGTCAGTATTAGAGTTTATTTTGAAAGGGGAAAGGAGAACGCAGTTGTGTTTCTGGCACCGAAAGCATTTGGCAAGCGTGTGACTTGCACGGTTGCGAGCGACAATCCCATTAGGCATTTTAAGGCACAAATCCTTCCGCACAGTTTAGGTCATCCAGCGCATGACGAACAAGGGGACGACTGTGCATCCTGAACCCCAACAACCAAGCTGCCCCAAAACTCTGGGATGTCTGCCCAAACACCTTGGCGGTTGGCATGTTCTCGCACCACACCTCAGGTTGCCAGATCGCGCAGTGGAAGGCCACAAGAAGCATCCGGGGAGCGTCAACCTAACAACCTAGGCGCAAAGTGTGTAAATGTGCCAATGGCGCTCGCCACACTCCACAATGTAGTACCAGGGCGGTCTGCGGCTCACACAAGGCGCATGCCAACCACACTCTGCAGCCACTCCTGTGGGGCGGGCCCCGCATCTCGCGGCCCCTCACACGTTCCTTCAGGCCGCTCCAGGCGTCGCCCGACCGCCCGGGGCCCCAAACCTGCCCCTGGCTGTGGCTGTCTTTCAGTGGTGTGTATAACCGCTGGACACCCAAACGCGCGCCCACACACAGACTCGGAGCTTGGCCAGCGGCCAGCGTGGTCCCTGTGGCGCTCAGCGAGTGCCGCTGGGCTCTGGTGGGGTGTGCACACCGGGCCCAGCAGCCCAGTGGTACCGAACGGTGCCGAGTTCGGTGGGTACATGAGCTGGATGCTGAGTTGAGTTGAGCGGGAGGGAGTCGGGCCTAGCTCCACACACGCCCGTGGAGGTCCTCGCTTTCGGTTCTGTTGTGGCCCGCCTGGAACAGGGCGCATCAGGCGGTGGCTTTGTGGGTTGGAGATGTCGACGCGGTTGGGATGCGACGCTGCTGGCCGCGCGATGGAGGGCCTGTGCCTGGGCTGTCCGCCTCGGCCGGCTCGAGGGTCGGCGCGGCAGCTTGCGCGGAGGCGGCGGGGATGCGACTGGGGCGGCGAGGAGGATGGCGGATTGGGGAGGGGGAGCGTGAGCGCGAGGTGAGCATGGGGGGTGGATCGGGGCGCCTTTCGTGGCCAGGGCGAGCGCGGAGCCGTTGAGGGCGCAGGTCACGGACAGCGTTGAAATCCGGAATTGCGCGTGGTGGAACGCGCCAATGCGTGGATTCTCCCAAGTTTTTTATGTCGGTCGAAACATGGAATTCTCAGGTTTGGAATATCGGTCCCTGCCGGTGCCCGCCGGTGGAGGGCGTGGAAAAGGCGGTGGCAAGGCGCGGATGCCGCGGGGGAAGAGGGGGGATATGCGCGTCTGCGCATACGCTGGTTTCTTGTGGTCACGCCAGTCGCCCGCGTGGCTGGTTCTCTGCCTGGCGGGCCCCGCGTTGATGTTTGGGATTGTTGTTGGGGGGCGTTTGCGTCGCGGCCGGGAAGCCTGCCGCGGTGTGCTGCTTTGATCGCGTTGCGCCGCTTCGGCTCGCCCTCGCACGGTTGAAGCCTGCTCCGCTCCTCGATAGCCCCTGCTGCAGCGCGCGTGTGACACTCTCCACCGATTGTCTGCACCGGACATGCCGTTACTCGCTCCGCGCGCCACCAGCCGTCCACTACCCTTGCGCCGAATTTTCCTGTGGCGCACAGTTTGTGACAGTCATCCTGGCCTGTGGACCGCACGGGCTGCGCTCTGCGCCGCGAAGGCAAGCGTACCGAATGCAGGTCAGCACCCTTTTGGAATTCAGATCCATAATGGAATGCAGCGCCCTTCTTTTGGTACTCAGCGCCCTTGTCCCTGCGGCAGGGCCGCGCCCGGTGATCTCGCGACCTACCCGCTCGAGGCTACCCGGGGCCCATCCCTGTTGGAGAGCTGCGCCCGCGAGGCGGTGCTCCATCTGGACGAGGCGCCGTGCCTGCACCTGGCCGGCACCACTGGCGCGCCGGGCTTTACCCGGCAGGCGGTGCCGGAGTCCGTGGCGGCCGATCCGCAGGTGGGTCGCCGGGCGTCTTTTGTTGCTTTTTCGACGTTTGTTGATGTTTTTTGTTCACCTGATTCCCAAGAAATGTACAATGTACATGCCATGTATGATGCTTAAAGTAATCCTAAATATGGTACGGTCGGAAATAGGTAGTATAGCATTGTATTTGATGCTTATCACGCTCAGGAGTCTCAGGTGTCCAGGTGCGGCCTCCATCGTAACAGAAGCAATGCGCAGGCACACAATAGAGTGCAAGGTGATGCATAGCCACAAAGGTTGAGTTGTGTCGTTGGTGGTGGCGCACCAAAGCTGGAATGAACGCATTCTTGCGGACAGTTTGGAAGCGACGTGCTGTCCGCTACAATGCACTGCACTTGACTGACGTTAGCAGTCTGCAAGGACTCAGTGATTGTAGTTAAGGCCCAAATCCCAGCGTCATCAAATGGTACACAGTGTAGTGGTCCCCAAGAAGCGGGAAAAGCATATCAATACTGAACAGAAAATGTTGTGTCTTCATTACTTGCTATTCGCTCTCCATAATGAATGAATGCATCCTTAGGAGAGGCAAGTGTTGTAATAGGTTGGTTCCTTCATGTTATCACAATTGGGAAGGCTGTGTGTCATGTGCTGTTCAAGGCACCGTGGATGACACCAATGGAGTTGTGCTGAATGTGGGTGTCTAAAGGAAAGAACTGCAATCTTGTCAGTGACAACTATTGCCTGGCTGCAGACCAAGTCTTCACACTCACTATGTGTACAGACACCGTGCATTGTGCAAGAACACCCTTTGGGACAATGTGTGCACAGCCATGGTACCTATGATTACTATACCTTGCACTTGACAATCTGTGTGACGGAAGGGCTGTTGTTCTTTTCACGGGCATTTACACATTCCTGTTTGTTCTCCTACCCTTCAGTTTCGCTGCGACCGGGCTTGCAACTATTGGGATCCTGTTGTTTATGTGATTTTTGTGCACTATGTGCAGCTGTGGCCAGGGATGGGCAAGGCCATTGCCAATCTGGACCCCGAAGTCCTGATGCTTGTGCATCGTGTGCCAGACAACCCCAGTCCCAAGGCTTGCTTGAAGCTGCAGTTAGAGGCGGCATTGGCACAGGCCCCTGGCTCTGTTCACGATGCTCCCGACGCCTTGCAGCTCTGGTCACAATCTTTGATGCCTTGTGGGAGGATCCATGCCATGCCTGGCAGTGGTAGAGACAGCTGTCACAGCAATTGCAATGACTCCAGTCCAAACTGCCTCAATTTTCATGAGGGGTCTGATTTAAACCGGGAACGTGCTGCTGGCAGACAAAAGGGGGAAGCGCACCCGAGAAGGGACATCGCGTTTTGGGGCATCGTGATTCAGTCCAAGCTGAGGAGGGCTGTTGAGGGCTGCTATTTGCTGAAGACTGTGAGCAACATTGATATCAACGGCGTCGCTTCCACACACTTTTCCTTGAACAGGGTGACTATGGATGTGCCCCTTGGCAAGCAGCTGCAGGCGGCATGGCTTGTGTAGTGGACGAACAAAAATCTTCTGGACGTGGCACTCGATGGGATTCAGTGCCGTGCGTCTCAATTCGACAGATAGATCCTTCTTTTCCCTGCAGGCATGTGATTTCCGTCGAAATGAATGGCAAGAGAGGGACCAGGTCCAACATTCTGCCTGCCTGCGAGCATTGAAAGCTGTTGAATGTCCTTTCGTTGACTGCTCGTCAAGGCCATTCAATGAAAGTTTGTTATGGAGCCGTGGGCTGCTGGTCGTAGACAGATGAGGCAAGAGGGATGGGTTGGGCAAACTTATGGCAAGATTGACAGGGATTCTTTTTCGGGACGAATGTTTTTGGGATTATTTTTTGGGATGATTCGGTCACTGCAGGCGGGCTCACTTCGTTGGGTTCGACTACAGTTTTTACCGTTGGTGGACAAACTGGCTTTGACTCGGGATTCTTAGCTGAAATTGGACTCTTTGCGACTCGGGTCGAGATGTAACAAACGTGCGCTGAGTTTGTGGTCGATCCGGAACTGTCTCGATCAAAACATTGAGCCAGCATTTGAAGGAGCATGGGATGCACCGACGAAAAGGGCACAGGCCCTCCACCCCCTCTGATGTCCTTAAATTGTGGCAACTGGACGTTCACATACAATTTTGCAATAGAGCATGCGCGATGCTCAATTCCAAACTCAATGTGCGTTATGGATTAAGGCGATGACGTAGCTCAGTGCCGTTCCAACACCATCCTCAGTTTCTGGCAAAACTTGCCAGTTAACGTGACAACAGCACAGCGCTCAATGTTGCCCGCCACGAGTACCCAATGTCGCCTGCCATACTGCGCGCAGTGCTGCATTGCAAGTCCATATAGGAGACGGCCGCCCACGCCAACCCGAGGGCCCCCGCCTCCACTTTCGTGTGCGCTTTCCCTGCACAGACCTCTTCCCTCGAACCACATCTTTTAGAGAACGAGCACTGTTCGCGCAGCAGCGGACGGGCCCCAGCCCGCGCTCGAATGTCCCACCCCCAGGCCCCTGAACTTCCGAGGCGCACGAAGCTGGAAGCCTGGTGCTTCGCCCCCGCGCGCAGCTCGCGTCCAAGACGACGTCAGCTCAGTGCGGGAAATGGCGTGGACGTATGGCATCTGGCGCATCGGCCCGTTTGGAACGAGGTCCTAATTTGGGCATGACCGGCCGCTAATGGGCGCGGGAGGTTGGGCCACAGACGCGCGCCATCTCGCGCCTCCGGGTTGAACGTCCAGGACTGCGCGCCATCCAACCAAGCGTGCACGCCCGCGACGATCTGCCAGTGCACGACCGCAGTGTTCGGTTGGTCGACTCGAGACATTCGAGTCGAATGTCGAGCCGTCAAATCTGGGATGGTCATCACACACAGGGAATTGTTGTACAAATGGGCAAGACACTGCATTGTACAAAAAGCGTGGCAACCCTCCCCTCTCCATCCTCGAAATCGCGCTCAGCAACGCCGACCCATGCACCCAGCGCTTGCAGACAGGCCTGCCGGCAGTAATCTAGCCCCCCCCCAGGCCCAACCCGCCAATACGAATCCCCACATTCCAGACATCCTTAGCGCCAGATCGAGGCACCACAACCGCATGGGGCACCCACTCATGCGAAACCAACCTGATACATTACAAATACAACCACGAGCAACCCTGCCCGGGACCCTCAAAACCCCAAAACTCCGTCGTGTGAACTGGCACCCCACGCCTGTGTCTGCCAAACACCAGACAAGCCTCAAAGAATACAAAGTGGACAGAGCTGCAGCCTGCGCATGTGCCCCCCTGAATGTTGGCTTGCAAGCTCAAAGCCCATGAAGCACGCTCAAGAAGGGTCCACAGCTGCGCTCTTGGTCACTCATTCGACCACCCGCTCCTGACGAAACTCTCTACCCAACCTGCGATGTCACACAAGCATACCGAGCGAATCTTCGTCCTTGCAGATCCCCAGAAGCCCTCCATCAGATTAGGTCAGCGAAGTCACAAGATTTGGATATTCAAAGACACGTGCCCTTCAACCAGACACGCCCGAGCCAACAGGCAAAGCCGCCTCATCATTCACCAGGTTGCTAGCCATCCAAAGTACCGCCCTTCAGCCAAACGGTGGCCACTTGTCCACCGCTCCAACAATACAGGCCCTGCACTCTTCATATGTATGATGCCAATAGCCAGTACATCCGCCAAGACTTGGACTCCTAAGGCATCCCTACATGCCACTCTTTTGCAGCGACGCCTACTGCCCCCAGCAGGCAGCCGTCAGACACATGAACGCACCAACAAGGCATCTTTCACCAGATCTACGCCAGACGTCCTCTGAAGAAGCCAGCAGAGCGATGTCTGATTGTGTTCGTATCGCATCGGTGCCCGCCCAAAGTACCGAGGGCGAATGACCCCGTTCCTGGTATGTTCGAAGTGCCAACATGAAGATGCCAAATGAAGTGGTGCACAGGCACAAGGCCATCCGCAACTTAGTCCAACAGAAGCAGTTTGGCCAAGGCAAGGTCACCACCACACCCCAGTAGACGCCGAGTCCCACTACTGGCCCAAGCACATGCCTAGTAAAGAATATACTGCAGATAGTACTGCGAATACACTGTGCAGAATGCGCTCCAGCACACACTGCAAAACGAAGGACTACCGTATTGCAGAACACATATCAACAGTGCATTGCCAACTGTACTGTAGAACGGACTGCAGGGGAGGTGCGGAGGGCTGTTAGTCACCCAGGCATTCCTTTTCGACAGGTCCAATGTACAGGCGCAACAGGGCGGCCAGGCGCAGGGTTGCCTTGAGGTCAATGCTGCCGCTGAGCTCCACACAGAACTTCAGCAGCTCATCGAATTCGAAGTCTGCATCCATGATGGCACGCCGGTGGTGCATCAAGATCGCGATGCACATGTAGAGGTGGAAATGCTCTGATAGGTGGCGAGACCACAGCACCTCCCACAGGCGAAGGACCTGCAACAGGCAGCACAATGACATGCCTTTCTTAGGCCAAGATACAAAGGCAAAGCTTTCCACATGGTTACTGAAAGCTCTTTTGTGGTTCTTGAGGTTTGAGCTCGAATGAGGCACAACAGCGTAACTCTTCCTTGGGTCTGGGAATCTAGGTTGGTCACGACTCTCAGTGTGTTCTTGCTTTGGATTTAAGTTGTGGGTAGGGACCGGACAGGTGTCTGCAAGAAGATGTTAGCCCTTGTATTAGGACCAGCTGGATAATTCCAGTCAGGCTAATATCAGCAGATTCGCAGTCAGATTGGTAGCAGCAGATTCTGAAATCGGAAGACTGACTGGCAAGACTGACTGTCCGCAGGGTTGCATTAATGGAGGAGGCCTTAGGCCTGGGCTTGGAGCTGGCAGGGTACCCACAAAGCCCTGGCACAAGGCTGTTTGCTTTACGCAAGCTAGATCCTCTATCTTTCAGTCACTCATGGTGCCAGCATTGCTCTGTTGCTACAATGTACTCTCCAGCTGCATTCTCCTCCTGTTGTTTCCTTTCACATTGCCAGGGCACAGAAAGGCAAACCTTGTCTGGAATCCATTTGCCACACAAGACATAGCACAGCCCTTTCACCAAAATCGGTACTGACTATTGAAGATTCGAGGTAAGCACTGTGATCAATTCCAGTGGTACGTATTATGATCAACTACTGGAGCAATGTACTGTGGCATGTACTGTGCCGTGATCAAGCACAGCAGTATGCACAGCGATCCACCACCATGCTCAGCTATGTCCTCTTTCAGCAGGACATCAAATAAGTGTTGTGCAATGTGCTGAAAAATGTAAACCTTTCAGTAGTTATTGCATCCCAGATGCCCCCCACCCCCATCCCACCAGCACCACCACCCAGACAAAAGGAAAAACAATAATGAGCTTGCAGCAAGGAAGTTGCAGCATCGATGAGAAGCCTTTGCACACTGACCCCACCTCATCAAAGGGGAACTCCCTCTTGAAGTGTATGAGCAGCCACCGGAAGCAGAAGAAGAAGTTCAGGCAGTCCTTCCTCTCTAGAAAGGCATACAGCTGGGGGTCGAGCAGCTGCAGCAGCTTCCTGAGGGACACCAGCTGTGCATGCATCCCACGCTGGTCTGTGTGGAAGTTGCACTCGAGCCATTCCATCAACCCCGCAAAACACCTGAAAAAGTTGAGGACAGTTGCCGTTCACAAGGTGCCGTCGACAATGCAATTGGAGGGGTTTGGGCTGCAGTTGTGTTGAAGCTGCATTCATAGTTGATGGGATACTTCACAAAATTCGATAGGAACTGCAACACGGCGGAACTATTTTGCAGCTACACGTGCACCGCTCCACAGATTGGTCCACACAGCACATCCTAAGGTGCTACACAATCGCAAGGCAGCATTGCCTGCCTGTGAATCAGCCCTACTTGTGTTTCTAATGAGCGCGGCAAAAGAGGACCCCATGTCCATGAAAGAGGCCCACAGTGAACTCTCGCACTGATGGAGCCCAACTCACCAAAATGCCTCCGCCTCAACTTCCGCCCATCGCGTCTGGTCCTTCGTCTTCACGTCTCGACACATCACATAAACGATCGGAGAAGCCAGGTCTGACATACCCTGGCAGTACCCCAGGTCGAAATTGAACATTGTGTATGTCAGCAGCACGTTGCGCAGCACCTTGAGGCTCCCGGCCCTCTCACTCTTGAAGAAAGGGTGGGAACGGTCAGTGCGGCACACATCCTTGTCCACACGTTTCTTCCTTTCGCGCCACTTGCCAAAGCGCCTCTCCTGCGACCGTCACACTACCAGACTTCAGGTCTATTCGATGGTGTGCATGATAGTACATTAATACTCCAGCCCTTTAGGTGCGACCACACTAAAACCTCAAGAGACTGCAGTTATGGCTCTTGTTGGATCCAGGTGTGCATTTCCCTGGAATGCATTTTGCTGCAAAAAGATTCAAAACTGTCATCGAACTCAAAGACAAAACAAAGGCCACAAACAGGCAACAAAATGACAAAGGTGAGAAAGGAGTAATAAAAGTGGAAAAGGCAGAAAAGGCGGAAAGGTGGAAACGTGAAAAAGTGACAAAAAATGAGATGACTGGTGCAGGTCCCTGGCTTGCAAAGATTGTCCACAAAACACACGTGCCCCACTCCAAAATACTGCATCATGGTTCCCAGCACACAATGTGGTGCAGAATTCGATCTTCGGGGATGGAGTGCACAAGTGCTGATTGATCTCTACGTGCCCATCACCACCAGGAAGGTGCAGGTTCTTTGTTTGCCAAGGTTCTGTTGACAGCTGTAATCCATGTAATTGCTCTGCCCAGCAGCAGGTGACAAAGCCAGCTGCTGCTAGTCTTCCACAGCTGCTGTTGATGTGAACGCTGGACATCGCCAGAAGGGTGCAAGGGTTATGATTTGTATTTTGTTCTTAGATTCCCAATATTGCAGCACAATGAAACCTGAGTGCCAGATTTGTCCTTGTCTGAAATGCAGCAATTCCATTCCTGGAAAGATGCGATCGGCGCAGAAAGGCACCACCCATGATAAGTTGTCCATACCAAAACTTTCTCCTCCACAAAATTTGCCAATACATGTTTCAATTCTCCTTGGAACAATTTGCCTTCTTCAATATCATTCTGTTCACATTGTAGTCCGTATACATACAAAGTAAACCATGGAGGTTGCATGAACCACAGACAAATGGGCAGCATAAGTTTGGGGTTAATCGACACTGACAACAGAGCAACCTGAACGAAAGTAAAACTTAGAAGCTAAACAGACCTGTGCCTCAGATATGGATGTCCATTGTAGTTTTAGCGTCTTGTATTCCTCCACTTTCTTCTGTGCCGTTTCACAGCGCTCCGTGACAGTGCTCTCCGGCGGGTAGTAATTCAGCAGGAACTTCCAGGCCTCCTTCCGCAGACCTGCCCACAGTCCCAAGCAACAATCTTAACACCCCACTTCAACACGTGGTCTTTAAACTGCTCAGGAACTAGCGCAGGAGGCAATGTGACAGAGTCCAATTGTCTTTTCCACTCTTGGCCTTTGCCAAGGAGCTCTAAAAGAAAGCATCCCTTGCAACCGGCTATCTTGGAACTCTGTCCATTGGTCAGCGAACAATACTGGTTGAATACTGGCATACCCCTCGATGCTCAGGTGCAAGGCCTTTGTTCGCCATGGCTATTCGACAGACAATAGTTGGCAGAAAACCATGCATCCCATAGGTGATCCCAGGTGCCACCCTTGTCCCATTTTCAAACATGCGGAACCGTTGGAACTCTGCCAGCCCTTCCACATGGTGAGAATTGGTGGTGCAGGAATGAGATTCTGGGAAACTCGGATGGACACTGCTTTGACATTCTTGCATTCGTCGTGGCTGGAAAGGCTCTAGTTCGACATGGCCGTTCTGACTGCGCCATTCCAGATATTCAAATATAGAAGATGCTGTTCAGCACCCACCTGTTTCCACCCCTCCGTAGAACACCTTCTCCCTGAAGCTGGGCATGTCCACGAGGCGCCCCTCGCCATCAAACCATGTGGCCCACTCTGCCAGCGAAACCGGCGGGCACCAGGGCTGTGTGCTGCCTGTGCTGCTTTCGTCCTTCAGCTGCATGTCGATCACCTCGAACATGCCCACAGCTGTGGCAGCCTCGTTGGAGGCGGCTTCTTCGGCACATGTGGCGCAAAGACTGATGCTCCCTTCTGGGCAGAATTCCCCTCCATGGGAGGCATCATTTTCTGCTGGCACCATGGGAGAAAACACATGATACAAATGCAATAACAAAAGGCAGTGCATGTGGCAGTGTGTGGCATGATTTTTGTTCACTAAACCTTTCCTGGAATCCAATGGCATGGACTTAAATGAACAGCAATGGACAATGGGGAACAATGCACCACAATGTGAATGGGGGTCACCAGCCTGTTGACAAGTGCAGCATGATGTCATGAAGCTGAAAAACCAAAAATACAAACAACCAGAGAGCAAGTTAACAACGTGGCAAGGTGATGGGACAAAACTACCCCGATGACAAGTTGCAGAAATAGACAAAAAGGCAGCAACAGAGGATGCAATGATGCAGCAGCAGAGAAGCACTTAGCTGACTCTAAGTCCTTACAATGGTGCACATTCCCTGATGCACTCAAGTGCCAAGCAGCATCCATTTAGTGCTACAGATTCCCCGCTTGAATCAAAGTCTTCGAAATTCGCCAGGCCATACATAAGTAACCAAAATCTGAAAAACTAACTACTGCAGGATCCACAACTGCAGCAAAGAGCTTGCGGTGCAAATACAAGCGGGGCAAAACAATGTTGGGCTTTGGAGAGGGTGAGTCACCTTTAATGAAGCTGCTCTGTGGCTGCTGGTCGACGGCCTGGCAGGGCACCTCGAGCGAGTGCAGCTGCTCCAGTGAGGGCATGCTGGCGGCCACAGGGACCAGGTCTGCAAACCCTGTGTTGGAAGAGGCACATGCACACACTAGTGAACTTCCATAAGTTACAATTACCAGCATCTTAGCCTGTTGATCTACATTTAAATGAAGTGATAATTGGGATTTGAATGCAATTCAGTGAATTTTCATAATACAATTCGAGCCCTTTCATACCACAAAGCAGTGCCTGTCACGTATCTGGAGATCTTGAACAATAAACAAAACACAGGTATGAATCGCTGATTCACCATTTGCTCTCAACATTTCTTGGAGACGTTACCTCGATCTGTGAATGTCATCCTTGCCCAGACATGCCTGCCCACATTAGTGCCTGCCAAGCAAGTTGAGTGCTGGAACAGCTGCACTGAAGTTGGTTCATCGAGAATGGCTATTTGCAACCAGCAGAAGGTGCGTATTGCACTGAGCCTAGTGCACTGATGTTTGTACAATGCAGCCATCACATTCACACTTGTGTGCTGGGTGAGATTCAGCAAGAAAAACTGCACAGGCGCTTCAAGCAGGAAAGCCATGTTTTCTTAGGTCTGTACCATGGACTTGTTTGTGCACAAAGCCACATGAAACATATCTAGCTAGAGCAAGCACAAGTTCCCACTCTTGGTAACTCTACGATATGCAAGAAAATTTGGCTGTATGGGAGATCGAAACACCAAAATTCAGACAAACTCAATTCAGATTTCAAGGATAGAAAAAGAATCCATCCACATAGCCTCCTGGCGGATAATCTGTGCTGGCAGCCCGACGATCCAACAGATTCCAACAACTTGCTATCAGATTGTTACTCAAGGTGTTGTCATCAACAAACAATTGCCAGTACCATTTTCAACACACTGTTTTTCAAACAACTGGAGAATTCTTGCAAGGTTCAAGCCCTTCACGTGACCCACCGTCTGGGCCATCCCCAGCTCCAAAAAAGCTTGATGTGGTGTCCTTAGCAATCCTGGTGATCCTTGAGAACCTCTCCGACAGCTGAAACGACAGCCCCTTCCAGCTCTGCTCTGTCATTTCCACCTCTGCCCCGCCGTTGCCTGGCAGAGACGATGGGTGGAAGGTTGAGGAGGCACCAGGGGGTGGTGCACCGAGCAGGACGTCTGTGAGGTCCAGGCAGTTCAAGCTACGCTGGAGCGGGTCGGCCGTGTCATTCACGAGGTAGGTGTTTCGGTCGGAAGCTGACTTGAAGAGCAGGACATGCTGTGAAAGAGGTCACATGTCAGTTAGAAGTAGGTACAACCAAAAACGTGAGTATCATTGCAAGTACACATCGCGAAAATCTCCAATGAATACAAATGCATGGAAATGTTGCTGGAGACAAAGAGTGTGAAGTGTTGCGTAGCTGAGTACAATGTGAAACGTAATCGCGATGTCCGCTGGAGGGTAACGTGACAGAAAGAAGGAGATCTGACATTGGTACTGAACTCTCCTCAATGATGGCAAAGCCAAAAGGATTCTCTCCACAAAACACTTCAACAACTTGAGTGTTTCGTACATGCTCAAGATAGCGCACACCTGATCAACCTTCAACACGAACATCTCAATCACACCAAATCTCACACCAAATCTCAAACTCATCTACATACATCATCATACAACATCGTGCACATCTGGCTCTGGCATTCAGCTCACCTCCCTGAGGGCACTAATCAGGCTCCGCACACCACCATTGTAGAAGTACAGTGGCGGCAAAGTAAGGCCCGAGTTCAGGACAATTATCATGGTGTGGTATCCGATGGTGGGCGTCTGGCGGGTAATGGCTTTGATGTCAGACACGGGAATCGGATGAACTGCATACATGGTTCTTCCTGTGCAGCAAATGAACGCAAATCATCAAAGATGAAAACAACAGCTTCAACTAAGCGCACCACAAAGACTGAAATTGTCAGACATATCAATGATGAAGAGTGCATGGCCTAGTCTGCACAACAGTGGAAAGGCCACGGCGTACAATAGAATATGTGGCATTTCACGAACAACTCAAAGCTTGGCCTTTCAAAATGAGTTGCAGATAAAACACAATGTCAAAACACAAATGGGTTGCGCCTCACACCTTGGCCCTCCTCAACAGTGCCCACGCACATCAGTGCTTCAAAGGCGAACATTAACTGTCTGAAAATGCATGGCTTTGTGTTGCTTCCCGAATCCAGCCAGCAAATGAATGCACTCCTTTGGCCACTCTACGGCGATTTGAACCAGGAAAAGGGCGGCTTTAATTGGGAAAACTGTGGAAGACTAAACCCCACAAACAGCAATGCAAAATTTTCAAAGTTTGGCAATGCTGCGTATACTACAACGAGTATTGTGTCGCCTGTGAGGTGCAACGACTCTATATTGATGGTGTAAGCTCTTCACTGAAGTTGTAAACTTGCTAGTTCATTGGTGTGGGATAAACTGGCAGCCAAAGAACTTGCAAATGCCAGCAAACTTTTGAACACAAGGTACGCTACTTGCACAACAGTTTGTGACTTTCAGCAAGAGCTTGCAGCACTGATTTGATGCAAGGTGCAAGGGAACTGCTGAGCCAGGTTTTGACAACCGCGATCCCGACATCCTCTGTTGCCACCAACCCAGCAGCACAATTGACAGTGCGAGGCTATGGGGCTTGATTGGTGTTGCAAAACACACTGTAAATGCACGTGGACTCATAGCAGGTTAGGCCTACCACGAAATGTTGGAGTTAAGCATCGATTCAGAGAAGCAGCTGAATCGTGTGACTCTTGACAGGTCAACAAGTGACAAACAGCACAACTCGTACGCCCTCAACCCTCAAAACAACATAACTGTAGAGCGCAACACTTGTCTTCGAACCCTTTTTCAATTTTGAGTTCCTTCAAACCCAAAACCCCCAACCCCTCACAACAAGGTCCCAAACCAACACAAGACGCCAAAGACCTAATCGCAAACCAAGAAAATAAATGGAGTCCTAAAACCACAATGTTAAACAAATCCAAACGCTAACACAAACCTCAGCTCAACAGCCGTGCGCACCTCTTTCCCTGTCTGCCTCACTGTTATCCGTCTGGCTGTCCAATTGGAATGTGCCGTCCTCGTTCAATGCGCCTTTGCTGTATGGCAGCCACGCAATGAACAGCACAGAGTGTTGTTTCACCAGACTCAGGCGGCCCATTATGCGGCTGTTCACGTCGCGACTTGGCCAAACGGCCACATCATCCCTGACAAAGATCACCTGCACATCAACTCGAAGCAATGATTACAGCAAATCAGTGGAAATGACAATGTCACCAATGGACTGCCTAGTCGATCGTGGCAAATGATCCAGACAGGCAATTGAAGCTGATTGAGCAAGCAATGGTGATGCAATGCGGGAGGAAACACTGTGGATGGAACTACGTTCGCATTGCCTGGAAGGTGCAAGGATGGTGCTTTGCTGGAAGTCAGCAAAGCTGTGTCCATGTGAATCACAACAGGCACTAAGTGCAGCCTTCCAGGTAGCTGCATCGGCAGTGTTCAGCTCTATGTGCATCCTGTGTGGCCCAACATCAACCACATCCACGAGGAAGTGAATCCCATCAACAAATTGTTGAATGCATGTGGAGAATCCAGGGGCACAGCAGTTCAGGTTTCAGGGAAGTTACTGGTGGCTTTCAAATGTTATGCATGTCATCTACTGCTGCTGGTGGACCACCTCACACCAGATTTTTTACGTGTCCAGACAAGAAACTGCGCCATCTAGCCACACAGGATTCAACTGTCCACTGAAAGCCTTGACTCATTCATGCTCGCAAAGGATCCCTGATGGAAACTCATTCTGCAGTACTCATGCATGATAAACAAATGGAGGATCATAAATTCAACGAATTCATCCCCAAGCAGAGTCAACTCTGGCAGTGACAAAATGGGGAACATTGAGGTGCATGGAGTTATGCATGTCATCTCCTTCAAGGTGCAAGGACCATGTTTCAAAAGCAAAGTGCCGCATCTCAAAGGGCTAACAACCACACTATGATTGGCTGCATTGTCTGATGGCCGTGTTTAGGATACAGTAACGTTCAGGATCATCTCCCTACCCAGGCATCCACTATAGGAGTGATTACTTCCCAATCTTATCTTGAGCCATGATGTCAACATTGTCGGCCCTACTAGGGAAGAAATTCCAGGTTGTCAGCCTACTGGACTTCTACAAGGACAGAAAGGAGACACTTTGCCATTTGGTGTGCATCCCCCCTGAATCATGGCGAACAACACCAACAGCCCATCCACAGTTGCAGCGGTTTCCTTTTGGAATAAAAATGAATGAAAAACATCCACAGTACAGCAGGATGCCAGCAGACTTTCCCTGCTTCGTATTCTGCACACCTACATCTGTGGCTCCCGGCTCAGAGAATGATTCGCAGTCTTCCAAAATCTCATCAGTACCCTCAGTCCCATCCGTCTCCACTGAGGCCTGTCGCTCGCTCGGCACTCGGCCACTCGCTCGCCCTGGATCAGGCTGGTCCTCCTGACAGGAATCGGGCAGCTCGCTCTTGGTTGCCTTGCGTGCCTCACTGGGTTGCCATCCGGAGCCCATCCCTTCCTGCAAAGGATGGCAGGAGACAACGCCTCGGTCGACAATGCAGTCCATGAAGGTCTCAGACCTGCAGCCACACCACCAGAGATTATCTCTCCAGCACAAAGGCCAGTGCGGGCAAACGCACACTCGCACACGCAAGGTGATGGAACAGAATTGCTTTGCCACATGTCGCTGTTGTTCCTGCAATGATCTCAATTGCTAATGTTTAAGCTTAACAAATCTTGATATAAAGTGATGCACTGTTATGAGATCACACAAAGAATCGACAAACTGTAGGTGTCTTCTTTCTGACAAACTACCGACTGTTTGATGGTCCTTTTCGTTGGTAAACACAATGCCACTATGTCTATTAAGGAGTCCTCAGAAATTTGCATTTGTGGTTGCACAAAAAGTTGTGCCCCACAGCCCAAGAGCTCCTCATTCCACCTGCAATCCACCCCTCATTCCACCTCCATTGCATTCTTCACGATTTCGCATCAACACTGTGGGACTGTAAGCTCGCACTAGTTGGATGCCCATCATCACCTTCTATGAAGCAAGTCTCCAGCAGGCACCTGCTCATGACAGCATGTCCATTGTACGACCAACTCTCCTTTCCTTCAAGATTTTGTCAAGGGGGGGAATTTGGCATTCGTACTGCCCCATGGTGGCCCACAATTCCCCACTCCACCAGTCACAAGGGTGAATCGTGTAGGCAGCCATTGTCAGGTTTGGCCAAAACAGTTATGTGAGGTGCCTCGCTGGTTACCTTGGTGTTACGCACACGTCCTGGCACTTGTCAAAACTGTCCTCTCTCAGCAGGTCGCTGGCCAAGCCCTTCCCCACCTCCTCGTTGCACACGGTATCAGTGCACCAAAGTACGTCCGCGACCTGCTGGCATGGCACCCTTGCCTCGCTCAACTACACACGTCATCCCATGACGATGCCCCTCCCAAGGGAACTCAGACAAACGTCGCAACAAAGAGCAAAAAAAAGAAGAACGAAAAGCAGATCAGGGCCTTAGGGGCTTGAGCAGGGTGTGCTGGCTACCATGCTTGGACTGCACTTGCCATCAAATTGCACAGTATGGCCCTTGCGATCTGCAGGTGATGGCGGCCAGAGTGGGGTATTGGGGTGCACCAGCGCAACAACCCGGGGTCCAGGTTCAATGGCAAATGAAGTCGTGAATAATCAGATACAAACGAACGCGCTGGAGGTGCGTATGCCAGCCACTGCCGACAAGCGGCAATCCCACCGTTCTTTTTCTTGTGAAAATAAACAAGTCCCGGGAACTGCACGCTGTAGCTGGTGGGCCAATCTTTGCGGCATTCCAAAGCCGTCCTGGAGACGTGCGGGCAGCATCTAAACAGGTCAGCGGCGACCTGCCAACACTGCGGACGAGCGGTGCCGCATCACCACGGACGGTCTGATGCGCGTGTGCGCCCGCACAGCGGGCCGCTCCTGCGCCAATTTTTGTCGCCACCGATTGCGGTCGCCGCGAACGGACTGCCAGCGGCGATTCGAACGAATGGGTTCGACAATATCGGGATGATTGCCCCCGCGCCCTTCGCCTTCGCAAAGGCGCCGAGGCCCTGCTCCGGCTCAGGAGGCAAAGCGCTGCACCTCGCCTTCCCGATGAGTTCGTGCTGGTCACGGAACATACCCGTCCGTGGCGAACAAAGCAGGGCGAGGCGCGCACAGCATGGCAATTCGGCCAGCTCGAGCCCGCCACCTTCGCGACGCTGGCTGGGTCGCATCTCACCTGGGCGCCGCCGCAACCTGGCGCTGCACGGCCCGATCCTCCCTCCCCGGGCGCCCGGCCGCCGGGTCCGCAGTCGCCGGCACGCGCCGAGACGCCGCACACCGCGCAGCCGCACAGTCCTGCCGGCAGGCAAACCGAGATCGGCATCGGCATCCGCCATGAGCCGCGCTGCGCGCCAGCGCGATCGGCCCCAATGCGCGGAAGTAGAAGAATCCAGTCGGCAACGAACCAAAAAACAAACAGAAAAACAAGGTGAAGGGACTGACTGGGGCAACACCCCCCTACCCCCCTCATCCTTTTCGCCTCGGGGCGCAACAGCGGCCGAGTCCACACCAGGATGCCGCGCAGGCCACGGGAAGGACCCCAGGCCGGGCCCACTCCCCCTTTCGGAACGCAAGGTCGCAAGAAACCCACCAGGGGGCCAACATGCGCCCCGTCCACGATTCCGGCGCGCGAAACCGATGGCCGACAGGCAGCGTCGCCAAACGGGCGATGGCCCGCGAGACATGGTGCCGAAAGCCTCCCGTCACCTCACTGGCCCAAATCCACCATGCCGTCCCCCCGCCCCCACAGCCTTCTTCAAAATCGGGGGGACCCCTACCAATCGCGGCAGCGCTCTTGCGGCGCCAGCTCGTGGGCATCAGCTGCCGACCTGGGTCCAGCGCCTCAGTGCGATTTTCGGCGCCGGAGCTCCCTTTGCTGATTCTTTTTTCGGGGCTCCGGGGGTTTGGCGCTGAAGGGCGCGCGGAAGCCGCTGCCGCGGGTGGGTGCCTGCCCCTGCGCTCCGGCTGGTGGGGGTTTTGACCCCGGGGGCTGCGTCAGGGGGAGAAAAGGGCAGCGGGGGGGAAGGTCTCCGGGCCGGCGTCGGACTGACGGAGCGCTGGCACGGGAACCTACCACTTGGAGGCGCCCAACTACGATAACAGTACCATGATACGGTAGTACGATGATACGATAGTACGATATTCTCCTTTCGCAGGAGTTGCGTTGTTGTCGCCGGCAGTAGGCGGTGAGCTCCGATAGCCTCTCCGTCATAATGTCGCTGAAAACTGACGTGGCAGTGACGTGGCTATCCGTTTTTAAGGTTCGGTTTTAGGGTTAGGTTTCGGGTTGGTGTACGTTTGGTTTTAGGTTTTAGGGTTTAGGACTACCCTAAAACCTCAACCTGCCCTAAAACCTGAAAAAAACGGACAGCCAACGTCACTGCCACGTCAGTTTTCAGTGACATTATAAAACGACGTTGTAAAAGATATAAAGGGATCCGATAGCAGGTGCCCCCTGAAACCCCGTACCCGGGCAACCACGGGACCCGGAAAGGAGCAAGAGCTTGATTTTCCAACGTTTGACTTACAGCGTCAGCGTGGTCAAAAAGGCGGCGGAAATGGGAGCACACGGTACCGACTTTTTGTGCTGAAGACTGGTGTAGAAATAGTTGTGCGTTTTCGTAACGCCTTGTACTGACCACTACTCCACTGGATGGGTCAGTCATGATCCATGCAGAGAGTGTTTCATCTATCGTTAATGGAAATACCCATCCTGCTAATCGGTTCTGTGCAAAGAGATCTTTGGGTGGGCGTGCATGCCGGCCGGTCGGGGCCTGCGCCGCCTCACCTTGGCTAATAACTTGAGTTTGTTCCAGTTTCTGCCACACCCTGTCCTTGGGTCGGTTTCAGATCGTCCGAGCAAGGTGGGCCATCCATTTTGGCGCCATTGGGAAGGCTTCTTGGGGGTCCGAGTTGGGCGGCTACTTGGGCGTTCCCCTCGGCTCCCCAACTATCTTGTTTCGCACCAGCCCGGCCAAACATAATAGAGTGAATTTCGGTTAGCTGTGGAATGAAATACAAGATTGGGGATGCTGACTAAGGATTGGGTCAACTCCGGTGTGACATTAACTGCGGCGAAGCGAAAGGACACATTTTGAAGTGGGTCGCCTTGGATGTTGTACTGTGTGAGAACTCGTGATGGACATCGTTGGTGCGCAATGCCTTGTCGTGTGAGGAACACCGGAGTCCAATAGATCGGCAGAAGCGGGTTGTGCATGACCGGGATCCCATCCGATGGCCTGGACGAGCCAGGGCATTAGATCACCAGAAACGGGTTAACCCGTTTCGAATGTACAACCGGTTGTACATTCCACGGGATCCGATCCAATATCTTAGACAAACCATTTTCAGAAGTAAGCATAAAACCAAAAGAAAACAAAACACACTGGGCTGAAATTGCCTTTCTTGAAACGACTGTGATTGTGCAATTTGGACCTGTGAATATATGTATGCATCGTTGCACAGCAGTGGGTGTGCATGTACGATTCGGGAGCAAGTGCGGATTAAAAATACGCATTTGGACGGGTCCAAATTTACTGATTTAATTGGCCGGGTTTCAGTGCATCTTTCGGGGCAAATTGCGGGTTGAAATATGGGTACTATTAGCAGAAAAAGGACCAAAAAAGACTTTTTGGGAACACATATGTATGCAATTCATCAGTGTTCGGCACGCTAAAACCACGAAAGTAACGCAAACCCGTAAACTTTGTACACGTTTGAACACGTGTTAATCGGCCCTTTTTCCCTAGTGTACGGGACGTAGCAGCAGGAAAGAGATACCCTCAAGTGCAATGTCCAAACCTCGGGCCTAGGACCTCCCATGCGTTGAATGTACAAGTGATCTCCCATTTGAACATTTTATTTCGTGCTTGATCGCGTTTTGGTGCGAATCATGCCAAAAAGGCGAAGCAGCACTTCCTTAGCATGATCAACGGCATATCTCAACGGCTTTTGATTACATGTTAATGTGTGAAATCAACTCTGTTTTTGGTGCTATGTTCAATGGTGCTTCCCGTGCTCTGGCTGTCGAATCGCCAGTCCATTCCCATGCAATGATTGGCGAAAGGTGTTTCATGGGGTCCTTCTGAGCCATGATACTCAACAGTATCGCTCCAGAACTTCATTGCAAATTGGACCGGCGGAGGCCATGGGCGTTGCATCAGTGATTAGCAATGAAGTAAGAGCCAAATTTCTTGCAAGTTTTACATGTGCTTTTTGACTCCGCTTTTGTGTTAATTGTGAGAAATCTGAACACAAGATCATCTGAGTGTGCCTCCCTTGCCAGAAACTACAAGCAAAACGCTGTCGCAGCGCTGTGCTTTGACCGCTGGCTTAGTACTCGGCACGTACTTATTGCCGCGCACCATTTTTACCATTTAAAACCGACATTTCCGCGCAAATCAGACCAAGAATGTAAGCACCGCGCTGCTTCCGAGTCCAAACACCATTGAGCAAAAAGACATACACGGCGCGATACGAGTGTCCTTCCGATAACCCGCTGCGTGCTTTGACAGCATGCTCGCGAACAATTCGAATAAACGTGCAGCATTAAAAATCAGAAAGAAATTGATTCAGTTCTGCAAAGCGTTGCTGCTTCCACCTCAGAAGGTTAACGCCAAGGTCCCTCATTCCGCCTGTGCCTTTTTCTAGCATTGTTTCCGATTCCATCGGCTCTGAATCATTACTTTCTCATGGCGCTAAACGCCCTGTCCGCCTTGCAAACATTCGCGGCCACTGTTGCAAAAGCTGAGTGCTCTTCTCCAGTACTCACGTGCCTCGGTCGCACATCCCTCACTGATGCCATGGCGTTGGCCCCTGGTCTGCTACCAAGTGTCTGGTCAATTAACCAATCAGATTTCCCAGTGTCCCCAAAATGCGATATGACTTTGGTAACCACTGCACGCTTTCCATCTACAATGGTTTCAAATGAAAGGGCATCCCCCCCTTCGCCACGCAGCTCTCACACCGCCTTTGTCTTCTTTCCTATTTCTCTGCCTGGATGCAATTTTGAGGGGTTCCCCTTGGGGTAGTGCGCCTTGCCAATGTCCTCGACGTAACGCACGAGGTTGGGGAAGCGTTTCACTATCCGCGCCGTTTCCAGATCCAGATCATCATTAAGATAATTGTCCAGCATGCCGAAGACGCTGGCGTCGGCGGGGCACGGCGCGTCACCCGTCACGTAACGCTTTTCGCCCAGGACGCCGGACAGGGCGGCCATGCTGGATGTCAGCAGGAAGATCACGTCGTTCTCGGAGTGCCTGGACAGTCCCTGCGGAATTATCAAATTCGCTATTAGAGAATGAAAAACACAATCAAACGAAACAATTGCAACACCACATTTTAGACTATTGATGAGTCTTAAAAACCTTCTATGTCTTCTAGACCTAGAAGATTTTATATACAGCTCCGGAGATAGCGCCTCCGGCACACCAGATTCGAATCACATAATTTGGAATTCAAGCGCGAATACAATTTCCGATGCCGGAAACCTAAAGTTCACCGCTGCGCAACAGAAAGCAGTCAATTTTGAAAACCGCAGGACAGCGGTCTCCGCAATTCAAGAGAACCGACCCGAGAACACTCACCTGGTCGTACAGCGACTTCAGCAGCCTGCGGCGAACAATTCTTGGAAGTATCCAGGACAGCGGCGCTGGCAGCAGCTTGGACATGTACTCCATCATGCCTCGGAACCCCTGCGGGATGCCGCAATTGGATTGGCTTTTGGTTGAATGCAAATAACCTGGATGAGTCAGAGAAGTAAGCTGTTCCGCGATGTTGTCTATTCCTATTTTAAAATTGTTCATATTTAACGTACGGACAAATTTCTGTTTGGACATCTGCACAGACTGCCAAGAACAAAATTTTTCTTGTGAGACTAAAAGTGCGCGCGGCTCCAATGCAAGGTGAAGGCAGGGTGCATTCATAGAACTGCATCCTGTAGAACTGACCGAGTGAATTTTCGTCCAAAATGGGCTATGTACGAGCGGCAAAATTGAATTGAATTTGATGAATCACTGGTCACATTTGCAATGCGCAGGACTATGTATCTTTAATAAGCGGAACATTCAGATTAGAAAATATCTGTTGGAGCCGATTGTTCATTTCATGGTGCGACTACCTTATGTCATGTCGGTAACATGTGCATATGGGACTGCGGTTCACATTCGTTCTCACAGTGTTTCACATTAATGTGGTGAAACGCATGAAACCATACACACCGCGCACATCACCGCATATATGGTGGTCATGCTATTTGCCCCACACCTCCAGATTCGTTCAGCTACATGTCCGTGATGATTTCTCCAGTAGCATTTATTATTATCAATGCTTTGCTTTCGCACCAGCATTCCTGAAATAGTACGCTGGAAAAGCAACTGATGCTACATTATAGTGTACATTCATCATACCTACTGTGCGTGAGTATAGAAACACATGCGACAACCTGTGCATCGTTTCCTCGTCGCTGTAATGGGTGAATTCCTTGCTCATTCGCAGACGACCAAAAAGAAATAACGCACCATTGTGACGCCCGTTACGTTGTAGATAAGGCATTAGTGCAGTGATAGTCGCAACGTGCTCACGTGCAACGACCACTGCCTACTGCTCCACCCCGTGTGGATCCACCAGATACCTTTTTGTACGGAGGCTGCCCAGTTTTGTCATCTTTCAGGATCCGATTAAATGCTCAAACATCTTATGCAGAACTTGCCTTTGCTGTTCCCCAACGGTAGTACAAAAGACCCCAGTACAGATGGTCCTCGCAAATGCGTTGGCATGCAATGGCCATCGCCTTCTTCTCTTCCGTGTCTGGCTCATTCAGTTGCAGCTTTCCCTTGTACGTGTTCTTTAGGTACTCGCAGATGAACGTGGAGTCGCCCAGGATGACGTCCCCTTGTTTGATATAAGGCACCTGAAAAATACAGGCTGCAGTCGCGGTCATGCTACTCGTTTGTGTGGTCCCCGACTTTCCAACTGCAAAGAGTTATTTTGGTGTTATTGCAACATTGGTGTGATTACATAGCATTGTTTATTATTAAATAACACTGTTATTCATCATTGTGTGTGATGTCACCAACTAGACGAAAACCCAATGGCCCAAAAGCCACTGCCAGAACACTAGCAGGCTCGGCGAAGAGCTTGCAGCCATCATTTTACAAATTTACCACAAATGAGCTTCAAAATTAGTACAGGGCGTATGCTTAAGTACGTCCGCGCCCGTCGGCCTCCGGTGCTCCCTTGACGGCAACCCGCTGCCGGGCAGACTGGCCGCACGGCGATAGGTGAGCGGCCGAGAGCAGCGATGGACGCATGGAAGCCTCGGGCGCCTGCCAGGATGTCCTGGCCCACTCCGCGCCCCTCCAGGCCACGCTCCCGCACCCCAAACAAACGCGCCCGCTGGTACCAGGGAATCCGTCGCAGTGGGATCCGCATTGGAAAGGCGTCGCAGGCTGGGCGAGCATGCTCACATGAGAGCCTTGTTTCACACGGGTCACCCCCTAAATGCGTGTTTCTTTGACGTTCGCGTCGCTCAGAGTATGCAAGATATCATGGTGCTGTTTGCTTTGCCGCAGGCCTTGTGTCTCCCTAAGGAGACGCTCGAGCAGCGGGGAAGGGTTGAACACGGAACAGGGCCCCAGGACGCCGCTATTTGCAGGAGGGACTCCAGCTGCATAGCTCGTTTCCTCCAGCAAACCAGCCAAGGGCAATCTTCGCTGTCACGCGCTTGGAGCGAATGGAAGCACTGCGAATGCTGACCTTGACAGTTCCCTGCAAAAGCTTGGCAGGGCGCTATCTGTGTGCACAACCGCCCGCCCCACCTTGTCCTCCAGCGTCCCCCGCCCCAAGCCGCCTTGACGGTGCAAGGGCGCGCTCACTCAAACAAATCACAGGACGGATGAACTTCCCGACAACAAAATCAATGCGCGACGTATCCACGCCCCCTGATGCCCACCTTTGACTTCGGCGTCCCCGCCCCGCCTCCTTTCACCGAGGCCCCTTGATGGCGCAAGGGCGGGGCTTCCTCAAACAAGTCAAAAAGCAGGCAAAACTTTTTGACAAATAAAACTCAAAAGACAAATAAATCAGTGCGGCAAAATCAACGTGACGCACAGCATCTGCCGCCGATCCCCACCTTGCCCTTGGGCGCACCCGTGATGCCCGCCGTGGCCTCGTAGTCGATGTCCGCCATGCGCAGGAACGTCTCCAGCTTGCTCACGAACGGCGACGCGGAGCTGGTGGTGCCGTTGATGGGCGGAAAGCCGAAGATCATGAGAGGCTTGCCGGGGTCGCCCACGGTCGCGGAGTCCTGCACGACGGACAAGCCGGCGCCCATCTTCGGTGTCGGAAATCTCCAAAACGAGATTCTGAATCAAGCGGCAGGGACCACGAGGAGAGGGAGAAGGTCGGGACGGCGAGAGGGTGTCCCTCTGTGGCTCGTGCGCGTCTTTGTGAGTGCGGAGGCACTGGCTGGAATGGTGGGCTCGTGGCTTGCGTGAGTTTTGTAGGCGGGTGCCAAGTAGAGGGGGAGTGGCTGTTCCGTCAATGGCCGTAAGTTTATGCAGCTTGGCGTTGGCCGGGATAAGAGTGGGGGCAGGATGGTGTGTGCCTGATGGCAAAGTCAGTGGGCGGCCCCTGCTCGATTCGCGCACCACGAGTGCGATCACGGGAGACGCGGCATTCCAAGGGTCTTGCCACGTGTCCACTGGCGGTTCGCGTGTGGGCAGCACGCGGTGAGGCGCAGCGTCGATGGGATCCAGGTGCGCTCCTTCCAGGTACGTGCCTTCCAGGTGTGTACATGTCGTTCACGTGAGTGTGCTGTGCTGTGCTGTAAGATCGGAAAACTGGTCGTACTTGTGTGTCTGTGGCGCGAGATGTTACGAGCCACGCGTGGGAGGTGCTTCGGTGTGCCGTGATTTGACGGGCCGTGAAGCAAGGGCAGTCGGATGATGGGACTTTTCAGAACTTACGGTTTGCAGGAAAATGTGGTGCAAGCAAGCACAAAAGTCTTACTCAGACGCAAAGTTTGACTCAATGTTGACGGACTGTGATGGGGGTAACGCGTGACTGTACTCGAACGACACTGTTGAAAAGCGTTTCTACACCCAAATCAAACACAACAGCAAATACAACAAGCACAATTCAAATACACTAATTCTGGGTTGGGCTCGAGCCTTGCCACCCTGACACGACAGCAATTCTGAGCTGCAATTATACTCCAGGGGGCAAGCGGTAGCAGCGCCAATACCGGCATGGGTGTTTTATTGCTGCAACAACCGAGCCCAAAGATTGTTGGTACTGCCTGCTACATAACATGATATCATGTGGCACTGATGGCGCCATGGCCATGATGGTGCCATAAGGTGGAATCGTCGATTCCCACGTGGCGCTTGCAACAAGTCCACACAGACAGCCAACCTCATTCACTGCCGCAGTGGATCATCCTCACCTTCTCCCCCGCCTTGCATCATAATACCCGCAGTGTGTCACCCAACCCAGTGCCAACCCACAAAACAGGAAGATTGGACTCAAGCCAAGCATCTGGGCGAGCATGCTCCTCCCCAGCGTTTGCCCACCAGCACACCAGCCAAGGCACAGAGAATCTGCCAGCAACGAAGGATCCGCTGGCCGCCCTCGTTACTAACCACGATCCGGATTCCGCCACCAAATCCCCCAGTGGCCAGGATCCAATCTCTCCACGCACGCACTGATGCAGCGCCTCGGCGGATGCGCCAAGGCCTTTCCCCCTCTCCGCCAGCCGACACTATCCAAGTGTGGGGGCGCACCAACCTGGGCGCCTGATCCCCAAGCGCACACAGAAAACAGGCCTCGCCATGCTGGCCACCAAAACGCCTCGATCCTCCCCGCTGGGCGCGCATCGGCACCAGCACTTTGGGCCAGCCCTCCCCCGTCGCGGGCCAGCCACCAGGTCCCGGTGGCCCGACGGGCATCGGCGCCCGGGGCGGCGATTCGGATGCCGCGCTGAGAAGGAGGAGGAAAAGGGCAATGGGGAAGGGCAAGATGGAAATGGGCGGAACGAAAGATCCAAGGCGAGGGAGGAGGGCGCAAGGAAGTACAGGGAGCAGCTGGCGAAGCAGGGGGTCGACAAGGCCACGGCGAACAAGATGCTGGAGGTGTGGAAGAAGCAGGGGATGGAGAACCCCGACCAGCTGAGGCGGATGTTTGTCAAGGGCACGCTGCGGCCTCTCGGAGGGGGGGCGATCCAGCTGCTGCTGGACTTGGGCGCCACCGTGGGCGCCTGGTACGCTGTGCAATTCCTGCGGTCGCTGGACCCGTTCCCGCTCCAGGGGGTGCTGGAGTTTCTGATCGTGGGGGGGTCGGCTTACTACGCCGTGTCGGTGATCTTCGATTTGTTGACGCTGGCGTCGATCCTGATCGCCACAGTGCAGTTCGGGGCGAATAGCGAGGAGTTCCTGGAGGCGGTCCGGGAGCTGGCGGGCCAGGAGGGGGGCGGCGGTTGGGTAGTGGGCAAGGCCAAGACAGCGGTGAACACGCTGAAGGTGGTGCAGGCGCTCAACGAGCTGTCGGCGTCCCTCAAGGTGGGGCGTGTTGACGGCATTGGGGCACTTGGAAGATGGGGTTCAGCCGCGCTGGACCATGGCATTTTGGCGATATTGGAGAATGACATTCACTCCTTCGGGGAGTTGGTTGTGATCAGGGGAAGACATTCACGGCGTGGATTGGGCGCCGCCTTGCTGAGCAAGCATTCTTGTGAGGCTCTTTTCCATGCTGCGAAATGTGATGCAGTGATCCTGGAAAATGACAACAGGAAAAACAGCAACATAGCGGAGGTCAGACATCTTTGTGTACCTTATTTGGTACCTTGGCCTTGTACCCGTTTCGTTCAGCGTGGTGATACAAAAGTAGAGGAGAAATAGAGGCAAGTTTGACAAGGAAATCTCTTTGAATGTTAGCAGGCAAGCCTACCAACGCAAGGTACCATTGAGGAAGAAAAAATCAGTGGTTGATGCATTCTTGCAGTGTGCAAAGTAAAGCACAAATTTGAGGGCATGCACAAACATGCATGATTAGCAAAGTTCTCAAGCTGAAAGAACAGAGCTTGTTATGCAACATTGTGGGTTACGCACCAACAAAGGCTACAACTCCCTAACCACCCAAAGTAAGAACATTTCCTGAGAATCTTTTACACATTGTGAAGGATTATGCACAAACATCTAAAGTCAACTTGAAAAGCACGCATAAACAGAAGATCAGTTGATAAACTGGATTGGCAGGTCACACAAGTGTTTGGAGCAGACACGGTCAGGGCCGAAGTTCAGATTGACAGGTGATACATGTGCCCCACAAAGGCATCCAATAATGAGGAAATGGTCCTCAATTATGTGTGCTTTTTTCCTGGTTCGCGGAATACATCACAGCATTACGCCTATGCATGGAGGGCTCAGTAAGAATACCCTTCTGCTTTTGCGTTATTCCTGTGGTCCAGGTGGACAACTAGGTCCCCATTCAGTGATTAGTGATCGAACTTGGGGTCTTTATTCATTTGGAGATGTGCTGGCATGGGATGGCCACATAGCAAGCTTTTGATGTCGACGCGGAAGCAGATCAATTTGTTGTGCTGATCAGAAGGTTGCACATATGCATGTGTCCTATTCACCGTTGCTCAACACTGAGGCACAATGTCAGTTAATGCTGATACAGCTGAGTACAGAAGTGGAGGCATAAAGTCTTTGAGTGTAATACAGATGATAGTGTTGACTCTTGCGTTCTATTCACCGGTGTTCTAATGCTGATGCAAACGAGCATAGATGTGAAGACAAGGCATCTTCCAGTGGCAATGCAACGCACACAGTGGTTATGCGGCAGGCATTTTGTGGCGCGTGTCCTTTCTGTCAAAATGCGCTCGTGACGTGTTGCCTTTCCCACTGGCAGGATAAAGCTGCCCAAAGGGGCGACGACATGACCACTCTGGAAAACTTGTCTGCCTATTTCATCCTCTCCAAGGCAGAGGAACAATTCGACTTCAAGCCCGAGAAGTACGATCTCACAGAGAAGGAGGCCTACAGACTGGCGCTGACTTTTTCGGCAGCTGACCTGAATGATGATGGCGTCATTGAAAGGAGCGAGCTCCAGAAACTAGTGTGAGAGTTGATGTCGATGATGGGAGGGGATCGCACTTGAACCAATCGGTTGAGTTAAGCAAATGTTTGAGAAAAATGATAAGCTATATTCATGTAGACTTGAACATCGACAAGCAAAGATTAAAATAAGAAGTACAGACAGACAAAACAAAGAATATAAAGGTATAATCACACTTTAGGTATGTGACTGTTGTAGTGAGCACAGGTTGAAGTGAGCTGTTTGTCAACCAATGTATAGTTTTGGTGAAAGCACGCTTGATAGACACAAAACACCCGCTGGTGACTTGCAGAACTTGGTCTCGCAGCATTGGATTTGGGCCATTGTTGGCGTTTCTATGGTTGCCGTTGCTTCCCTTGCCGTTGATATTGTCCACATTGCTGCTGTAGTATCTGCAGCAGTTGTACCAATGCTCACTTTCTGTAATGTTGCAGCGACACCCTGGGCACCGATCTCTCTGAAGATGAGCTGGCAGAGGCCGTTCGCCTTTTGGACACAAACCAAAACAACGTCATAGACTTCACCGAATTCGTCGACTTTTGGCAGATGAAGGTGAGGCGATGGATGAGTCAGCCGGTCAGTTTGCCTGCCCACCTGTTCGATTTCGGACTTCGATTTGGGAATGTTCATGTGCCTTTCTGGCTGTCGTCGACGGATTCACGGCTCCAATATTGGGGCCGAGACCATCGGCCTGAGAAGCGAAACGTCTTGGAAATAGCCACGTGTTCTGTGGGCACACTGGCAGGCTGATTCAGAAACAGCCTTCCATGCAAACGGCGGGCGCTGGGCCAATGTGCTGTATGCCAAGTCTTGCAGCCACTTCGCCTGGGGTGGTATGTTGGGCAACTTATGTCAATGGCGTTATGACCATGGTTGCGTTGTGATGCTCGCGTTCGCCCGAATAATATCACCTGTAGGGGGAATGAAATTTCACCAGCGATAAATAGAGCGTGTTCTGAACGGCCCACGAACGTGCTGGGACATAATCCATCCGTTTTGTTTTCCACTCCAAATCCTGAGACTTGTGCGTGTTCCCTCCAGTGCAAAGTGCCCCCAGCGAAGGCTGCGTCCTAGGTCCCATGTTGTGAATGACTTGCAAGGGGCGCGCCAGTGGATCAGTACCGCCGAAGGGAGGATGCAAGGCGATGAGCATGATGCGGATGCGTGTAGTACATGCGGATTTGTAGTGTAGACAGCCCGTACTTGGAGACGTGGGCGCGGATAGTATCTCAAGAGAACAACGGGGAACAAGAAGGTCAGAAATTTCGAGATACCTACATTTGTAAGCGATTTTGCTGAGTTTGCTGGATCCCATACGGCAGGAATAGCTGCCTTCCATTTTCTCAGCAGGCCATGGAGGTATTCGCCAATGATCTTCTGTTGCGAGGGATGGCGCATCTGCCGAAAGTAGCACGATTGCTGGACCCGCGATTCAGCCAAATCGGGCCTGGAGACATTTCGCAAGCCGCCGCATAGTCCAGATCGCCAAATTAATACATGACAGCATTCACACTACCGTAGTTGTTTCAAAAAGTCGCGCTACGCTTGGCCACAACAGTGGGAGGTGTCATGTGCCACAGAATACACTGAACTGAACATTGTATTCACTGAACTGGTGTCGCGCCAGACAGGGGCTGGAGCAAAAGCTTCGTTTGGACCTGTGGTGGTGTGGGCAGTGGCTCACGCACATCCCAGGACAGGCTATTGGCACCAGGGTCAGGCAACACACGTGTCGAATGGTGGTTCTTGTGCAACACCGCTGCCGATGCAATTTTCGCCCCCACGTTTTCGGGGCCCTGTGCTGCGTTGCTGTGCAGAATAGATTGACACACAACAATCCGTTCCAGCGAGGGCAGATTATGTAAAACATGATAATTTGATGTGGACGAATGGAGATTCAGAAGTCTCCACAATTCCAGTCCAGCTTCCGCCCAGCCGCACCCTCCTCCCCACCACCCAGCCTCCGCGCCTCCGCGACCCGCAAAGCCCTGGCGCCCGGCCCGGCCCAGCCGAAACGTCACCCCTGGAGCCCCCCCCCCCGCCTTCCCACCCATCTCCCAATCGCCCCTCACGATTCGGCCCCTTTGCCACTTTTCCGGTCGGGCCAACCGCGACACCTGGTTCGGCAAGAAACCCTTTTGGCAAAAGTTCTCTCGCCACTGATCCACAGCTCGGATTGGCAAAGCTCAGGCGGAAGGCGGCATCTCCAGCGGAGGGGTGCCGCCGGCGATGGGCTGGCAGCGGGAGGGCGAGTTCAGGCGCGCGCTGGAGAAGACTGCGGGGCACATGAGCAGGGCCACACACGATTTGCTGGTGGGGATCGCGCTCGAGGACGCGCGAGAGTGCTACAAGCACGTGGTTGCGCTCCTGGGAATCCAGCTGCGGCGCAGCCCGCCGGCGGGCCGGCTGAACGTGATGCGCGTGCTGTCCGGCATCCTGAGGAGATCGGCCGGGCAGCGCGGCGGGAGGGAAAAGTATGTCGGCAGGGTAAGGCCCCAGCTCGGGCGCATGTTTTCGGGGGTGGCGGGGAGCAAGGGGTTGGCCGAAAAGGTTGCGGGCATGGTGGGCGCCTGGAAGCGGGAGGGGATTTTCGAATCGGATGATTACGCCGTGATCGACGCGGCGATGGGGTGGCAGAAGGTCGAAGGGGGGATGAGTTGCAGGGGGTCGCCGGGCGGGGGGAGCGGCCGCGGCAGGCAGCGGCATGCGCGCAAGGGATCGTTGGCGGGCGACGTCCGCGGGGAGAGGGAGCAGGAGGCGCAGTCCAAGGCGGCTTTCCCGCCGCCCGATCGCGGGGAGAGTTCGCCGATCCCTCGTCCAAAGGGCACAGGTTCAGCGGGGTGGATTTTGGCGAATATGCGAGTCAGGTGTGGGAATGGATCCGGGGGTGAGGAGTACGACCCTCTGCATCCCTGCGAGAGTTCAGGGGACGGGGCGGGGGACAATTTGGAGGCGGTCGAAGGCGGGGGGAACAATTCGGAGGTGGACGAGGGGAACAATTTGGATGCGGGGGAGGGCGAGGGGGAGATGGAGTGGACGGCGGGCGGCTGGCACGGAGAGGCGTCGCAGGAATCCAACTCGGCTATCAACAACGCGGCATTCGGATCGCATTGCGGCGCGGGGGAAACGGCGGATGCCTCCCACCGGGATTGGGGGGTGGGTGGGGGCCTACCTGTTCAGGGCTCGCGGCGGTGCCGTCGTGGAGACCTCGAAGACGGGCCCCGCGCACAGGCCCGGGGGGATGGCGGCTTGGCCTTGCCCTCCGAGACTGGCGATTGGCGATGCAGGCTTGGATTTCAGGTCCGTGGCGAGACGGCTGGGGGCACAGGGCGGAAGGCCCGCGGTGGGTGCAGCTACGTGCACGAGAGGCTGCCCGAGGTGGGCTTCGGAGAGGGGCTGGAGTCGGTCCTGGGGCCCGGCAATGTTCCCGACTGGCCGCCGGGGCCCCGCGATCGGAGTCGTCGCCGGTCGTCCGCCGAAGACGAACCGCGGAGGAGACGGAATCGAAAGGGCTTGTCGGCTGCGACCTGCGGGTCCCAGTCGCGCCACAGCACGCCGGCAAGGCGGCGGAGTCCGGGCCCAGAGCTTGGCTTGGAACATGCTCCCCAGGCTTGGTGCGGAGAGATGACCTCCAGGAGGCGCAAAGTCGAGCCGTGTGGCAGCGATATGGATGGGTGCGGAGATGACAACAATGGAGTCATCGACCGGCGGGGCCTTGACCCGGAGGCGCCATGCACAGCGGATCGATGGGCGGACCTGGCCTTCTCCCCGGTGACCCCGCCGCATTGGGGATGTGCTGGGGATGAGGCCCTCCAGGACGGCTGCGCCAGGCTGGCGTCGACCGTGCCGCCCCTGCCGTGCAGCCCGCCCCCTGCAACGCCGCCGCCGCCGCCATCCTCTCCGCTGGTGCGGGCCGCCGCAATCTGATCGCCTCCTTCCGGTTTTCTTCTTTGAACGGACACCTTTTTTTGAAATGCATTTGGATCGAATGCCAGGGGGGGACAGGGGAAAGCCACGTTACCAGGAACAACGCACTTTTGCTGTGAGCAACCACAAGCAAAAAATGGGCCGCAGTGCATGGTTTCGAACCATGTAAAATTCATGTAGGACCGTGTCAAAACGCGTGAAAATCACGTACGCTCAATCGTTACTACAGGGTTAGGTCCCATCTCTGTATGATAAATACACGATAGCCACGTTAATTTTGCACGGATTTCAATCGTGTGACATTGTAGGCGATTTTCAAAACCGTTTATTTTGGCCTGTTGTTTACTAGTGAACGCCCGCCGTCGCCGTATGGGTGATGGCTAATGACTTGTCGGCGAGGCGTCGCGTCTCGACGAGCGTCACCGTTGTGTGCATCCACTTTGGCAAGAGAGACGGGGCATGCATTCGCGAACACAGCTGGTAAGAAGGGACAAAAGCCGGAGTTTTGATCACAGGGGTGTGTGGGCCACGTGGTGCAAATGAGCGCGCCCAGTGGCCGAAGGAGAAGGCGCTGATTGCGTCGCGACTACCTGGCTGAATTGTGAGCTGCCATTTGTGTGACATCCTCTCGAAACGAGCCATAATCTGCGGCAGCAATGGGAAATTTGCTGTAGAAAAAAGGCAACCCGTCACAGTTTGGGCAGCGCACCAGTTATAGAACGCTGGTGATCCACGCGGTATCAGCGGATCATTCTTTACGATTGGGCTCCAGTTACGTGTCCCCGCTTGGGCCGGGTGTGGGCGCTCGGGAGAATGGTGGGGTCCATGGTTTCAATTTGCAAGAAATCGAGTCGACAGGATCAAGTTTTTCAACTGCAAAAACCAAAACTGACCACTATGGTGTCAATTTTCAAGTTCTGCAAGAATTTGCGCTTCCGTTTTGCTTCTGACACCAAGTCGTCCCACACTCCGCGACCGGAGCACGCAATGGCCCGCATAAAGCACATCACAATTTGCGTGATGAACGTGACGTGCGTTGTGATATGCGTTGAATGCAATGTTGCTGGCTGAGCACAAAAACTGTGACGGCACAGGCAGTCGTACATACTCGGCTGTATTATATACCGTATATACGGCTTCTATTATTCATATATGAATAAGGTCCGTGGCCATCTTCAGCACGCATTTTGCATTGAACTTTCGCATTCACATTTTGAATCTATGTTCCTGTGCGCAGCAGGCCGCTTTCGCTTTCTAACACAGCTTGAAAGTGCTATTCTCGGTCGCTCTAAATTGCTTTTCCCGCCGAATTGCCAAATTGGCAGATTGGCAATGCCAATCTCCTGCGACTTGATCCAATGCAGGGGCAATGTCCCTTCGGCCATTTCTATCCCACCGAGCTGCGTTGCTCTGCTTGCATGCCGCCAGCGCGTGGCTGGTGCCTACGCTACACACGAGGCCTCTTCCGTTTTGTTTGGGCTCCGGCATATATCCATGCGGTGGACAACGTGGTCCACTTCGACCACAGTGGCGGCCTGGATGGCTGATGATTCAGCAACTCTGTCATGGACAAGCGCACATCCATGTTTAATGATGCAACCACAATGTGTTTCTGCAGGTCGAAGCAATGTGCATATGCACTGTTTTTCATTTTCATGTGCTGTTGCCGTAAAACAATAACATGCGGCATAATAACAAAACAGTGTGTGTGTAATATGATAATGAAACTACTAAATCAATATAGATCAATGACAATGGGCAGTGTGAAAAGTGTCGCAGATGAATATGCAAGTCGATACACTACTCCTTTCCGGACGCTGCAAGTTGTTTGACCATTTGTCGGGACTTCTGACCATGCTATACTGTAGTGAATTCTGACAGCTGCATATTAGCAGTTTTTTCCTGGATCACAATGACACCGAATCGGGTAAATCAATTAGCATTTTCCCTACTTCCACTTTCACTAATCAACAACTCACACATTTCTGCCCATTTTCCATCCATGTAGCATTTCTGAAGTCACGCAGCTCAGCGCAAGGCGAGGTCTATTGGCATTGAGACATACCCCTCCAACCGCAACGGTGTAGATCATCTTGATGCAGCAGTTGTCATAACCAAATTCGACGCATACTTCAGACTATGCAACC